ATCTGGGACGGACTTTTAGGCGCTTGTCGCGTGCTGTACGCTGCATGGCCCTCCACAAACAATTGGGGGGGGGGGGGGGATAATAGTGGGACGGGGATTATCTTGCATGTGTGAATGTATTGTGTGCATGTGCTACTCTCGAGTCAATGCGCGAGTATCGCAAACGATTAGGGAACATGCCTACCTGGACTTGCCTCCAGGCGCATTCATGCCTTTTTGACAGAGATACATACGGCTTGCATGGGTAATACGGGTCTGCCAAACACCAAGATCAAGTCATGCCTCTCCATCGTGTTTACTAGCGCAGGCGTAAAACGCATGGAGGGGCTTTAGTCATGCCATGTCACCTTTGCGCGCATGGAAGAAGAGAAAAAAAAAGAAGAACAGGTGGGAACGTCACATCACAATCTAACCCAGCCAGCCAGACCATGGCAGATGATCGCCTCTAAAAAAAATGGCCCCGTATCTGCATGTTAATCTGCAAACGTCGTTGAAAGACGATAATCTTGCATCTGGAGAGATTGAACAAAACGTTTATTTGATGTTCTGCGCAAGAAAATCGGTTAATGGTATTCTGGAGGCGCTGCGTTAGAGTGCCTCGAGTGGGCAGCGGAGGCGAACGAGCGCACCAAGTCACGTCACACGTGAGACATGAGCGCTATCTGGCAGTTATCTCAAAAAACAGGGCACGTGCGCCCGGCGCGCCCGTCTCGGAGGTGATAAGGTGTAGAACGCAAAGCGACGGGTAGATGCCACCACCGTCACGTCTTAGCAAAGCGTTATTTGGAAACACTCACCTTTTCGGGCAAGCGTTGAATGGTCAGCACAGCGCGATAAGCGCTACGGTCCTTAATATTACTTATGTATGCCTTTTCTAGTAAAAGATGCACATGCAGAATATATGCGTGTTGTTAAGCTGCCCCAGACTTGCGCAATATTTGATTACTAATTGACAATTGCACAAGTATGAACGCTAAACCTTGAGCAACTTTGGTGGGCGCTGCGGATGGAGTCGGGCGTTTCAAGTACGCGGTGCCGATAAGAGTGGACAAACAGACAAATGTACAGACAGGCAGACAGAGCAAAATTTTTGCGTCGAAGGTCCCCAAGAAAGACTATCGTCTTTAAAAAAATAGTCGCGCTCATGCACTCGCGCATGTTGTCCAAAGGCAGGCGGGGTCACCGGTCGTGCGACCCATGAATCACGACGTCGGCTTGGAATGCGCGCCCTCTTGTGGAGGCTTGTGTGCATCCGCCTTTCAAGAGAAATGCCGCGGACTTCTGAAATTGTGTAAGACTATAGAGTATTCAAAAAATATAAAGGGAAATTCACCCTGGTCACGTGGTAGGCAAGCGCTACCATTGGTCTGCTCGCTTCCGTTGCACCTTGTATAGAGTCTTAATCCTACCCAGCATGCACCGCACGCTGGTCGTTAGGGACTGCGTCACAGAAGTAACAGTGGCCATTCACATGAGGTTGGCTTGCATCTCATAGCGGAATCAAGGAACACTCCGCCCTAAACTTGCATTTTCTCATCTGCTTTTGCAAAGTTATGAAAATGGGCTAGGGACACGTTCACCTTTATGTGTAAGAATTTGTTATTCTTCGAACAAATGGGGATGGCTGAAAATTGTGACGCAACTGCTCTATACAACTTTCGATGTGAGTTTGATAAATAAAGTTAATTGAAAGCTCGTCTTAATTATTCCTTGCCAAAGCAACTTTAGCAGCGGCGAACTGTTTTCATTTTTGCAGATGTATAATTCGCTTGCGAAGACGGCATGTGTCTTACGACAGGTCATATTTACGAAATATCTGCATAAGTCTCTAAAAATAAATAAAATAAAGACATACAAGTGATGGACTGAGACAACGAATCCGCAGCTACCTAGATTTCCAGTTTCATTGGTGGTAGTGATAGTGATTAGAAAAATAATGTGCTTCATTGGTTCAGATATAGCACGGTCGTCCTTGACATATACGCGAGGGGGGGGGGGGGGTCAAAAGAGGGCGACACTCTCACAGTGCCCTGGGAAATTTTGATCTTCCCCTGTACGCCTTCTCATAGAGTGCACGTTGGGTAGCTATTACACATTCCTAGAGTTCATATATTCTTAGAGTCGCAAATCTTTTGGAAAAAATGTTTGCGGCTTTTAATAATTATTGTCCATTGTTGATAAGTAGCAAGAAGTAAACAAAACACTTCTCTAAAAAAAGTGAGAAAATTTTTTATTTCATCTCACTATGCACACCGATAGCAACAACTCTGCAGCAGGCAGACATAAATCCGTACGTATAAGCGTATTAAGTTATAATTACCTCAGCAACAACTTAAAATTCAACACAATAAGTAACCAGTTAAAAACTCTTGGACGAAACTATACCCTGCAGGCACATATGCATTGAATGCTTGCACACTGCGCCTGTAATAGCATTTTCTTGGACTAGTGACTACGCTAGAAGCTCGGAGAGTCAATAACACCGTATAGTGACTGACACATCTGGCCGAAAGAAAAAAAATCGAGCATGATCAACTGCTCAACCCCATGTATGTCGGGCAGCATACTGAGTTGTTTCTTTCACATATAGGTTAATTTTTTTTCCAGCTGATATAATTCCTAGTTATGCTGCCTCGGTGTGGAGTTGGCAGAAACAAGGTGTGCTGTAGAAAGCTGACGAAACATGGTCATCTAGAAGCTCACTTCAAATTTGTCTTGCTATACGCATATCGTTGGCACTTACTTTTGTCGCTTTTATCTGACAAAGATGTGACGTAAGCAGCGTTTAACCGTAAATGCTTATGTCATTCGTCAGCAGTATGTGAGAAGTCCTCAGCACAACCATAGAGAGTGATAATCGTACCAGAAGGATATCAATGATTAACTGAGCTTGTTCCTGAAGACCTATAGGACCTCCTTGGACCTTTTTGAAAACTTTGCGAACCAGGCGTGGTTGGTGGCTTCAGTATACATGGCACGACTCGCAATACACTTGTCTGCATGTCGAGTAAACCTAAACGTTAAATCTCATCAGCATCTATGAAACGGCTCCTGCCGGCCTTTCCGGCAAGCAAGCGGGAATGATGAAGGCGGCTTAACGCGAAAACGTACAATCCTTTCTCCTGATTCAGCCACTAAGATACGGCGACGTTATGATACGTCCGTGACAGTGAACATGCACAAGGGCCATGTAATACTTGTAGGAGTTACGTCTTGAGCTTAACGCCAGTTGTTCTTGGCAACGACGGGTTCACACCCAATACCCTACACTGATAATTTCGAGATTCTGTGGGTGTGCACAGCAAGTGTATATGGTAGGTGCTCTAACACATCAAACAGCATGCACTATACATTCCAACGTACAGGACTGAACAACGAAGCGACCTCGTTGGGATTCCTTCGTTATGGAGGTCGATGAAAGCTTCTCTCCTGTAAGGAATTCGGAACGAAGGTGTGTGTGGGTAACAATACACCTTTCCACGGCACACTTTGCAGCCAAATCCAGTCTCTCTGGCCACATTAGAACAAATAAGACACTTGAAGAAAATGATGATGCGAACTTCCTGACTGATAATCACTACTTGACTGTATACAATCCATTTTGCTTTACATTTCTTGATTATCTCTCACATTAACTGTAGATCTAGTGTAAAGGCCACATGATCACACGATAACGTTTCACCATTTACAACGAAGTGATCCACATGCAATCTAACAACACAGTGGGTAGACATAAAAACAATGCATTCAACAAACAAACAAAAAAGACGTAGAATGCATCCGTCAAACCCCGTTTATGGGCTCTTGGCTGAAACCTGCTGAACATCGGAAATATCTGCGCGCACTTGTTAGTGTCTTTTCTTTGTGAAGAACAGAGGGAAGAAAAACAGACTTCCACAGGCAGTCCCGTCTGGGGTATTGCTTGGAGCAACGACGGTTGTGCCCGTTGTTTATGATGGCTTTTGAAGGAGGCTGGCACATCGCTTGAAACACGCGCACAGCAACGTGGTAACAAGCACAGCGTCCATCTGCTCCTGGCGGCCTGGCCCGTGCTCACCGATAGTCACTAATATCTCGTCGTGCAGACCGACGACTTGGAAGACCGCACTCGTAATTGTTTAAGCACACGCTTTCCCCACGATCAGTCTTCGCTGTCTTGTCGTTTGGCAGGGCACAAAAGTGGATGAGAAAGCCGACGTCGTCAGTGTATCGACAGTACATGTTCAGATCGTTGTGCATGCTTGAGGCAGTTGCCCGATTTCCCATTCCTTAACAGGAGCTGTTTGGGGGAAAACGGTTACCTTACTGGTAATGGCATTTCTAGACTTCGATCATCTATATATACCTGGCATACTTCAACATTATACAACCGGGAAAGTGTCTATCTTCGCGCAACGCTTATAAGGGGAAATTCCTTGCATAATATGGTTTTACGAAATGTTTACTTGAGCAACGAGTTCCTATGTTGAGAGTCTCGTCAGAGTTTTAGTGCCAATAACAATCCGCGTATCGAAAACATATTTTGTTTCCACGAAGTGAAATTGGCAGCCACTTAGTTCTCTGTACTTACAGTAATGAATTTTACTGTCGTACATAACGTAAAGCATGCAAACTTGGACAAAAAAGATGACAAACCTCCTCCTCCTCCTGCGTCCGCACTATTCGGACTAACTTCTACAATGGGTTCCTATCCCATATCTGATTCTGTCGGTTTAAGTTTCGATTTTGATAATTTCTAGAAAAACACCATCGGCCCCAATAAAGAGGCTCACAATTTCTTTCACTTAGTGCTATAGATCAGGTATGGAAGTACAGTTCCTATTGCGTGCGTAGAACATATTCATTTCATTGCCCTCGATGAACCATGGATCTGTGGATGATATGCATGCACTTTTAACTCACACCGCCTTTCTGCGCCAATTATATCAGCTTTTGAAAAAATGCTGGGTATTCAATTCGTGCGAGATGATGGGAGCCGCAAGCGCTGGGGCTACGGTCTTCGAAAGAAGACATGCTTCGCAGGAACGCCTGCGAAGCGGCTATTCCCTCGTTGTTCCGGACCCTGAAACATTGGCAGTGCTTCAGAACTTCCTGCGCAAGTAGGCGAGTCCCAGTGACACGGAGATGCCGACAAACAGTATGATAGAGAGTGCAATGACACCCATGCAGAGCGCCCTCTTGCGACGGGAGCGAAGGTTCTTTTCGCGCATGTATCGCCGCCATTCCTCCCAGGCGTATGGAGGTCCCGTAGGGCCTTGCTGTTTTTCGAGCAAGCCATTTTCAGCCTGCAAGTACGGGCAAAAGAGAAAGAAAAAGATATATGAGAAGAAGCATAAGTAAAACATTATTCACCTGAAAACTTTTTCAAGACCTCATATCAATACTGAAGTTAACTATGCCTCCCATGTACTAAGTCGTATCCGCTCATAAATAAATGCAGTCACAATTACGCTAAGACTGCCGTGAACTGCAGGCAACCGACAATGACTAGACGGAACACAACAGACAGTTACATACTTCCTTTAATCACACTTGAAAGGAGAAACATCGAAATGTGCTGACTGCAGCACACGTGTCAGGATAGGCGTACCCTCCGTCGCTCAGTTTAAGAGCTCAGAAAAGAACAAATGAAAGAAGAAATAGTAGAGTGTCACGGACGGCCATTTTTGGCGACCCTGCGTCACGGCAATTAACGGGCGCCGTACTCTCCCACTGACCGTGGGAACGGCGGGCGCATGAAAGGGAGCCGAGAAATGCAGAATGGGGTGCTCTTCTTCGAACGTCGCCGCCGCCGTTTGATCCTTTGTGACTGCGGCGGCGTCTGCAAGGTCGTGGAAGGCCACATGTACCCCGAACAAGGATTAGACTACGGGACACACCGGCTGAGAGCCAAACAGTCTGACCGTTCCCACGGGGGAAACCGTGGGAAAACCTCTGGTGGCCAAGCCGTATGACAACAACCCAACAGGTTGTCACTCTCGCTAGTAGAAGGCCCTCTCCCAATTAAAAAGGGGTGGGGTCAATATATTTTTGGGTGGAGTTTCCACCAATTAAACGCGCACGATTGGACCCATGTAGAGGTCCCTTGTCCCCAAGGAAGAGAGCAAGAAGACACAAGGGGTATTTAAGCGCAGGATTTTGCCCTGCTAGGCAGACTAGTCGCTGACCAACATGGTGTAGAAAGACATCAACAAGCACCTCTTCTAGAAGTTTTTAGTGTGGCTCTGTATCGGCTGGCCACCTAAACTTAGCCGTTCGTCTAGTTGTGACGCGATATTAACGTCTGCAACGTAGACATCGGGACTTCGCCTCGAGTTAGCTCAACCTGCTCGAAGTCACCTGCAAGCACTAGCCTCCCGGAGCCACCAGCGAAGCAACACCGCCGACATCGCAGTCGTGCCAGAACTCTTTTCGACTTCTCGCATCCGATCGTCGGGGACGCAACGCTGCCGGTCATCACACGTTTGCCTTCACCTGTTTATATCTTCGAACTTTCTCCTCCGTAGTTCTATTGTTGTTAGTTTGTGTAGTTTGTAATAGTTCTCTCTCGTAAGCTGATTTATTGTTTTGTTTATACATTTTTTAGTTGTATCAAGTGTTGATGTATCTTGTTAGTTGTATTTAAGTGTTGTATTAGATCCCGTGTGCTGCAACATCACTAGAGTAAAGTTTTTTTTCCTCACGTCTCTGATCTCTTCACTGTCTCTGCTTGCGTACGGAACGAACTAACCTGCTGTCATTCCCATCGCCGACTTCGCACTGGCGACGCTAGAGTGGCAGCTTGTAACATAGAGAAAGAAAGATAGGGAGGTTATCCAGTCAGGACCAGTGGTTTGCAAACTGCGTACACATGGGAACGGGACTGGGGCAGAAGGAAAAATTGAGAGGAAGGAGTGGAGTATTCCTTATACATCCGATTTGGTTGGAGGTTTTTTCAAGACCAGCTTTCTCTGAAACAACCACACTGTAAAGTGATCTGGCTTGTGTAGTTTTATTTTTTAGCATCTCTTCTCTAAATTTAGGTATAATGATATTTGTATTTTAAGTGTTGACATTTTTCGCAATTTTTCAAGCAAAACAAGCAATTGTAGCCATTTTTTATAAAACACTTCTAAAGAAAATGAAAACAAATCCACATATGTGCGCCATTCTAGTACACGAAGCTTCGTACTGATGTTCGCTTTATTCTCGTAAAAAGTCAGCCTTCTGTTTTTTCACGTTGTTTTTGTAAGGGGCCAATGAAACAAAAAAAAAGTGATTTCAAGATATTGAGAGTTTAAGAGGAAAAACAAGCTTATTTCTTATTTTGTTAAATTGTGTACTGAACAAATCAATCGCAAGCTGCTTTGTAAAAATCACAGGAACCGCCTTTTCACTTCTTTTCTTGTTTTTCTGGTTACCAGGCTTGTTTTGTCACGCCTTGCGTCTCTCTAATGGCTCAATACTGTCGATGGCGGTCCATATCCCCCAACCCCATACAGGGATGGGCCTCAAAGAAAGAACTCTTTATTGAAAAGCAGAGAATTTAGCCGGCATATGCAAATCGCTGACTCGCTACTATGCGTGGGAAGGTGGTTTGGCGATTGAAAGTAGAGACAGGGATAGAGAAAGAAAGAGAAAGGGGGGGAAAGACGAGACGTTCAGATGGAAGATGGAATGTAAAATAGAGAAAAAAAAGACCACCTGTTGACCATTGCATGAGGACGTGCGTTAGTGGTTTTTACATGGTGTCAAGGCACAGACAGAGTTTTTCTAGCTGACCGATAATGTCCAAGTACGTGAGAAAAAGTTTCATAGCCCGCCTCTCTAGCGTGGGGCAGGCTAAAGGTGCCAATACACAGCCAAGTGAGGAAGTTTTTTTCGGTTATCGAATCCATGCAATGTTCATAGAGCGCACGCTCATCAGCTTACGCTCTACAGTCAAACAATATGTGTTCCACAGTTTAGATGGAGCACTGTTGTTGCAGTACGTACTCGCTGCTTTACCGAAGCGGTATCGTATAAGATGTTTCCATTGGCAGTGTTCTGACGAAGACGATGGTGGGGATTTTTCAGATGCCGATTAATTCTGCATGAGAGTATTGTTTTGAGATAAGGGTCGATTGAGTAGAAGGAAGGCATAATGATGTATCGCAAGGTTCCAGAGTCTATTATTTTCTTGAAACGCAAGTTTCATAGCCATCTAAGAAGCATCAGATTTGATTAAATAAGTTCAGTAATTAAAATGTCGAAAACCTTTGCATTCGGCTTCATCTGCTTTTTTATTGGCCAGATTGTCGTAATGAGCCGGTATCCAATAAAATGTGATAAAGTTCCCAGCGGTAGCCAGTGGGTGTAAGTATGCTATGCCGAATGAAACGGGGTGAGAATTAGTCTTCTTTGGGAGGTTGAACAACGTCAGTATACAGTGCTCCCTTGCAGTCGGCGAGAATTACCCATCGGTCCGGCGTTTGACGAAAGATGTAAAAGAGAGCTTTTTCGATCTCATGAAGTTCCGCTGTCGCCGAAGATGTCCTGCGCTGAAGCCGATAGGATAGCGTTTATCTTGTAGAGTGGACATAAATTCCATAAGAGGAAGTCTCCATGAGTAGTTGAGGCGTCACTGTAAATACGTGAGTGCTGAGCATAGTGATCGGCTAAGTAGAGGCGTGCAGCAGCGCACTCTGTGACATTCGTCTCTTTGCCCCACCTGGTTCGAGGTACAAATCGTCTTATAGTTAGAGGAGAAACTTTCCAGGGAGGAAATGTTGCAGGCGTTCATTTCAGTGGCTGATTAATAGGAACAAGTTGAAGCATTTGCACAGCAAGAGATGCGCCTCGTAGTGTCAAACACCTGTTGTCAAATCGCTATATCAAACCGCTTTGTCAAACCGGAGGGACCTGTTGAAGGCTTCGAAAAAAGACCTTTATTTACCTGTTCTCGTTATAACACTTCCCTTTCATTCGAATTTCGGGGAAAAGAGGTGGGTGGGGGGAGACGGGTCCTTAAGGCACCTTCCCTGGCTACGGGCCTAGAACCACGTCTAAACGCGTGTCTCTCACACACATGGTGAGTGGTCTTAGTAAATGCTACGCGTGTTATAAAAAAGCTGTACCATGTGCTTTTAAATAGCCGGAACACTTTTTGAATACTTTTTGAAACCTGCAAAGCCATGGGAAACTACAAGTATTGATTTTTAAAAACCTCTTGCGACATAAAGCTCGGGTTGTGCACCGTCTGAGAAAAGGCGGCTTCGTTTCTTGTCAGTTGGTCTTGAAAACCTGATAAAGCGCGAAAAATATGTGTGGGGCGCTGGATGTACTTAAGAAAAGCCTTATGATTTCCAACAAGCAAAAACCCAAATTTATGTGTTTTTTTAGGTATAATTTACCTTATACTATGTGCCTTTAACCACTGCATGCTTGCTCACTCTGGTTTTGCGTCCAATGCCAGGGAAAAAACGAACACGTTAAGTAGCGTGGCATGGTATCCCAACAAGACGTATAGAGGTGACGGCTATTGTTCATTTCAGAAAGCAAGACACCCCGATGGCACTTAAGTACACCTACACAGATGCTATCGTTGGGGTCCAGGGTTTCGCAATAGCAATAGTAAATAACAAGCGCTTAACTTTACAGACGGATCCAAAACACTAGCGACAAATCCGACACAGATGCAACTGACCTTAGTCACAATCGTGAACAAACGTTATCTCTCTCAATTCGTCCTCCAAGATAATTGCACTTACCAACTCCATGGTGGCGTGCAAGCAACTTGTGCACAAAGATTTGCCTGTCCACATCACGCTTACGCAACAATATATCACCTGATCAGGTGCACCTGATCATGATAGAATGTCATCATCGAAAGAGTTATTGAGATCGCCTGCGATACATGGCGCTTAAGTACTTCTTCATGGTATAACTATCAGTTAAAGCGCACTAAAAACACACAGGAAGACAGGACAAGCGCTTGTCCTGTCTTCCTGTCTGTTTTTCGTGCGCTTTAACTGATAGTTAT